CACACGGATGCAGACAGATCAAGGACTATGACAGACCCGAGGCATCCGCAAGCGTCCCCTCGCGGAGTCACACGCATTTTAGACAGCAGCGAAAGAGAACTGGACCAAGAAATGACCAGCGTATTCATCCTGCAGTTGGAAACTTAACAAGGCCCAGTACTAAGAGTGCTGCTTCACTTGTGTTTCTTAGTTGCACTTACCAATAATTTGGGGTTGAGTAGAACAACCATACACTAAAAACACAACAGACCCACGGTTTATCTGACCAAATAAGCCTGTGTTTTAAAGATAGATTTGTGAAAGCACTGAGACTGAAGGTGTAGATGAATGTTTTCGTGCTCTCATGTGAGAGTCGCATGGAGAAACATGAGTCTTCCCTTGAGTGACTGTCCGTGCCAACTGCAGAGGAAAGCTGATTTACTCATTATGTGAACTTTTTTCCTCTCGACGAGGATATTTATTACCTTGAACCTTTTTAATAACGGATAACTTAATGCTTTTGCTTTTTTGCCATTGAGAAATAACTTAGTTGAATGAAACGGGACAGCTGCGAGAAATATTTAAGGCAAGACACCACAGGTGAAAAGAGTAAAAAAAATATGAAATAACTAATCGTCATACTTCCCCAGCTGATTAATCACTGTAGATTAATAATAATAATAATAATTTTGTATTACAAGTTTTCTGAAATGTTATGTTAAATTATGTAAATGAAACATTATATAATTCAAATCTGCACTCATTTCCAGAACAGAAATCTGACCATTGGTTCAAAATTCATTTTGTTGACTTCATAGAGTTTTTACAGAGGGCATTTTGGATTTCTCTTTTGATCACTCCATAAATCAGAAAATTCTGTCAACAGCCAGAAAAAAAAAAAAGTATAAATAAATAAAATCACTATGATTTTAGGAATAAAATGTTACATAAATCAGGCGAATGATATATATACAAACCTATCTGTAAAAACCTTATAGACCGACTGTAAAGCTTGGTATATACGTGATGCTAACGTGGAGATTTCTGACTTTTAAGAAAAAGGCCTTTGAAAATATGTATTGTAATTGAAATCTACAGACACAAATAGATCATGTGTAATAAATAAACACTTTAATGTTAATTTGTATGTTTTCTTTCCACTAGTCTGAAAGAAGACATGGAAGCAGAATTAACCAGTACATACAGTAAAGGTTTTGCTTGTAGTGTCTTGCCTTAACAGGTTAGCGATAACTTTGTGATTGCTGACAACCTCGGGATGATGTTGATTTCATTTGAATGTAGCAAGACTCCAAAGTGCAGTCACTAATCTATCTGTTTATAATCTTGTTTTGAAGAAAAAAGAAAAAATGTAATCTAAAAGCCAAAATATTGGGCTCATTAGACGACTGTACGGAGAATCCCTTTAGATGCGTCTTTGTACTGAAATACCTTTATACCTCTTGACACATTAGCACTATGTAGACATTATGATTATAGAAATAGGAACAGGGTTGATATTTTATCTGGTGACAACTCTAAATTTGACACTCACGAGTCAATCAGTGTTTTATGTTGATTTACTCTGCTATGCCCATGATAGAGATTGTAAAATTGGAGATTGCCTCTGGCTGCCTCCACTGCAAGAGCTGAAGTGGATCTGACATCTTTCCCACTTTTATTGTTACTGTAGGTGGATTTAAACAGGAAGTTCTGGTCTAGATCAGCACAAACAACCCTTACTCTGAGCCAGACGTGTGTCCACTTTACATAAAGGGCTTTGACTAACTGATCCTTAAGATCCTGCTCTCATATTATCATCAGTTTCAGAGATCTTTGCCTCAAAATATTCCAGAAACTTGCAATGAAATTACAGAGGCATTTTAATTTCATTTGAAATATGGTAAACTAAACTGCATAAACCAAACTGTGGTCAGAGAAAATTGTGTAGAATAAATAAATAAATAAAAGTTATACATTTGAATTAGTTCAAATTTACCAAATGTAAAATTACTATTTCATTCTAAATTCTTCCATTGGTCGGGAATTGAGATTAATTACAAGATTATATATGAATCATTTCCAGATAATATTATATTATGTGTTTTATTTATTGGGGTTTGGCTACCTCTTTTTCTGACCAATCAGAAAAAGCTTGAGAAACTGGTTTGAAAATGATTATTTTCATATGTAATAGCCGAGAAATGACACACTTCACCTTTTAGTATGCTAAAAACATGGAACTGTGATACATACATTTTGTAATTAAAAATAAATAAATAAATTCCCTACTTAAGAGTAGTCAGCAGTGCTGAAGAGAATCTGTAGCCAGATTGATGTTAAATGCTAAGAGTGTCACTTTATCCAGTAGACCTGGCCATACTCGTTCTCAGAGATTAGAAAAGCCCGTGTAGAAATCAAGAGCCTTAAAGCACATCCCTTTAGCTTCAGTGCCATTACAGCAGCGACTGTGAAACATTTATAGTGTCTAAAATGAATTTGCTGTATGATATTACTGAACTGTGTCCTCTTCTCTGTAATAATGTGTTTATAAGCATCCTCTGTGTGTTAGTATTACTGACATTGTCAAAGACATTTGTTTATGGGTCGAGGTCACACGTGTTCCAGATAAAGTTGGTTTATCACAGTGTGTTTGTGTTCTCCACTGTCAGAGCCAAAAATACTTTTTATTTTTAATTCAGATTGTTCTGAATTGCCAATAAAAATCATTAAATAATGTGTGGTTTTAAGCAATCATTCATAAATTGCTGCTGAGCACATACAGGTCAGAGATAGGTAGAAATATGTCTGGTTAGCTTTGGTGCTAATGCTAACCATATCTCTCCAGGTATTACAGGCCTCCTTGGTGATATGCAGTTTTATAATGACGGATTCTCATTCGAGAAAGCGTTTGATTGGCTAAAAAAATTGTATGTGCCCCTATGTGCAAGGTTAGTCTATTAGGTCCCTTTTTCTGGAAAATAAAAAATGTAGGTTACCTATTGAAAGTTAATTTTGTAGAACTTCAGCATAACACTAGTGTGTGTTTGTGTGTGTGTGTGTGTGTGTGTGTGTGTGTGTGTGCACGCGTTTTTGTGACAAATGAGGACATCAATTTGTATAATGACAAAGGTATGACATAGGCATTACAAGGAGAAGGTGACTTTTCAGGACATTACCCCATGTCCCCACTTTTCAAAACGCTTATAAATCACACAGAATGGAGTGTATTGAAAATCTGAAATAGCAGAAAGTTTCCTGTGAGGGGTAGGTTTAGGGGTAGGGTTGGTGTAGGGCAATAGAATATACGGTCTGTACAGTATAAAAACCATTACGCCTATGAGATGTCCCCACTTTTCACAAAAACAAACCTGTGTGTGTGTACATATAGGGGAGAGCGGGGTGAGTTGAGCCAGTTTTTACTTGCGCCAGCAGTTTAAAGCGAGCACATGACTTCTTAAAATCTATGTGTGAGCCTTGTGATGGATTGGCCGTTCATGCACGGAGTTTCCTCACCTGTGGCTCAAGACGCTGGGTTAGGCTCCAGCTCCCCACGACCCTAATAAAGACCCTAACAACTCTGAGGGTGTTTTTTAAATTATTTAAAAATCCCAGGACAAAAAGTTACAATTGAAGAATTAAAAATAAAAAGACTGCAACTGACCTTACAGAAATGGGCTAGTACTCAACATCCCACTTATAAATGTTGCAGGGAAATACAATTCCATATAATCTTCAGAGGCCAGTTTTCATAAACAAGGCCTATTTAAAATGTATAGAGCAAGTTCAAAACAAAGAACAAAATCAAAATCATTTTTGGTGTAAAATTAATGAAATATAATGTATAATTACAGTAAAATAATACTTTATAATCATAAGAAGGGGTGAGACACTGGCTCAACTTTCCCCAGGAACTTTGGCTCAAATTACCCCACTCCTACCATTTCAACAAACTTGTATCATCCAGCAGTTTGGAGCTAACATTATAGCCTCATATTATAACCTCCTAAAGCACAAACACATGTGATTTTTTTTTCAGACTTGTCTGTAATTATTTAGACACAAGAAGCATGAGTCCTTGAACATACAAAAATCACTTTGTTTTGTGAACTTAAGTGTAGTATTCCATGGGCCTCTCTCCACCATAGGGTGACTAAAATGCTTAAATCTTCAAATATGTGTGGTCATATCACCAATTGTATTTAAGGTTGTCTAGAAACAAGGGGTGGCTCAACTTCCCCGCAGGCTCAAATCACCCCGCTCTCCCTTATGTAACCTATATATATTCATATTCATTTGAATACTAGATGCATACAAGTGCATTGATGCAATTTTTCCCTTTTTGTACTCATGCAACTTTGTTGCATTTTTTCTGATACATTTTGTTAGTTGCAATATAATAATAATAAAATAATTTTGTTTTATTACATATAATACATATATAACAATATATGATATATTATATTCCTTTGTCAAGAATTACTGTGTTGTACCCTTTTTCAGGCAACTTAAGAGGAAGAATCAATCATTGTTTTGGTCAAAATACAATAGTTAGCACAGTTTTTATTAGTACAATTTTTGGGGGGGTAATTTAGGAACAGCTACCACTATCATCAAAAATCCTATAACGTTGTTTAAATTAGGTCTTACATTATTTTATTATGATTTTACAGTAATAACAATAATAACTATACTGTATTTGCGTTAACCATGGTTGCCATGGTGATTTGTTATAAGAAACATGACCAATAAAGAGTCAAACTTTGCTTACATATCAGCATGGTGAAAAGGACCCTGACCTGCACCTTGTAAACAAAACCCTGTGTCAGCTGCTCATTTTCTGCGACCATTTTTATTGATTAATTATGGAGAGACCGAAGCCACGCTCCTAAATAATGAATGATGCTGTTTTTAATGCTTCTTGGATATTTAACGTCCTGTGGGTGGGACTGCATTGTTAGCATTGGTTCTCCGAGCCGTCAATCAAAGCTCTGGCCCCGCCCCTCTTGGCGTCACACGTCTTTCAAGTGACGTCAAAGTGTCTGCAGGTGTTGGAAGAGGCGCAGTATTGGCGTAAGTGACGCTTAAAACGGCTTTTACGGTAAGACAACGGCAGTAATGTGCGTTTTAAATACTTTGCGCTACATGATTTGTAATAGTTACTGTATGTGTGCGTTTTTCGCCGGGGAAGCTGCGAAAAATGAGCCCAAAGTAAGAAGAATAACCTTCATCTGACATGGACGCCGCGCATCCTATGCTTCTGTTTATACTCCCCATCAAAGACACATCTGCCACAGCCTTTGAAGCCTTGGCATTACATTGCACGGATTCGAGCGATTGTGTGCCTCTTCGTCTTTTATATATCTAAATGAGAATAATGAATCGTTGAGTGCTTTAGCATCATCTCAGAAGATGGTGAATCAGGTGAAAATCTCCGCAGCAGCAGCAGTGTTGCAAAAAATGTGCTGTTTCCTATTATGTAAGGATGCTCTGATCTTTTACTGGTCATAATTTTACTTTAATATGATATACTGTATTATATAATATGCTAGTATAAAATTGTATAGGCTATGTCTCATCAAATCATGCATAATATTGGCACACGCTAGTCTATGATATTTGCCTCCATCATTCAGCAAAACTGCTGTTATTAGTCATTATGCTCTAGATGCTTTGGACCATTTTCTCACGTTCGATACTGTATATATTCGGTTGCTTTGTTTATAAACGTTTTAAACCAGCCTAAACTGGCTTGATGGTCTTCCAAGCTGATCTTTTAGCTGGTTTCAAAGTGACTTTACAGCTGGTCAGGCTGTGAGACCAGCTAGACCTGCTTAAACCAGCAAACCATCTTAGACTGGTGTTATCGGACTAGTATTTCACATTTTAATTTTGAAGCAAATCAGCTTGACGGTTCTTGGACAGTGCAGCACTGACCACACAGTGTCCAGTGCTGTCAGTCTTGATTACACTGACGTTTGCATTATTGAGGATTTGAGTCTAAAGGAAGAGAAAAGCGCTCTCTAGAGCAGTGTGCTTACTGCTGAAACCAGTTTTTTTTAACAACAATATAGCCATAAAGATGTGCTCCGTCCCCCTCCCCAAGGTGGTCCGGCAGTCTGTTTTTGTTAGGCTGAAAGAGCAGCTGGTCTAAAAGTTAGCCTCTATTTTTTAGTCTGCTGGAGCCCTCTGTTATCAGGAGAGATACTGACTTTAGGATGCTTTGGTGCTCTGCGAATCTTTCAGACACACCGGATGCGGTGTGCTGAATCGCAGATCAGCTCTCAGGGTCTCCAGAGGAGAAGCCTTTTTGTCGAGTTTGTGCTGCGTCTGGTGGAATTTGCTTTGATTGTGATAAACATACATAGAACCAGGCCAAAGCTGAAGCTAATTAAACTTGTCAAAATCTCTAATACAAGTTAGGATAGGAACATTCAGTTTTTCCTTCAACCATCCTATGAGTTCTCTATCTAAAAAAGTCGTGTTGCCCTAAACCGGAATACAATGCCAATCTCCAATCCCAATGATTTTCAGAATGAATTCTGGGTACTGCTGTGCAGTACATACAGTGGGTACGGAAAGTATTCAGACCCCCTTAAATTTTTCACTCTTTGTTATATTGCAGCCATTTGCTAAAATCATTTAAGTTAATTTTTTCCCCTCATTAATGTACACACAGCACCCCATATTGACAGAAAAACACAACTTGTTGGGTCTTTCCCAAAAAGACTCATGGCTGTATTAGATCAAAAGGGTGCTTCTACTAAATACTGAGCAAAGGGTCTGAATACTTAGGACCATGTGATATTTCAGTTTTTCTTTTTTAATAAATCTGCAAAAATGTCAACAATTCTGTGTTTTTCTGTCAATATGGGGTGCTGTGTGTACATTAATGAGGCAAAAAAATTAACTTAAATGATTTTAGCAAATGGCTGCAATATAACAAAGAGTGAAAAATTTAAGGGGGTCTGAATACTTTCCGTACCCACTGTACTGTATGGACACTTATTATGTGGCATCCAGTTATGCAGTGGAATCTTTTAGTAAAAAAAAATTTACTCACTGTCATGTTTATCCAAATTTTGTAACTTTATTACGTGGATCACTTCAGTTTTATTGTAATTGCATGGAAATGAGCAACCTGCACATTCTTCTAAATTTTTTCCTTTTGTGTTACACAGACTTGAAGGAATTTTCATATTAACATTAAGTAGTCTGTTAAAATTATGACTTAAGACATGTTAAATATCACAGCTGACATTACGGTATAGTCTCTTGGAACTGTAAGGTCAAAACATGTTGCATTGTAGAATGCAGTATCAAACAGTCTTGTTCTTTTGTGCACGGTGCACAGTGTGTTAACTATATAATGTAAAAAGCTGCATGTACATAGTGTGTATAGATAGATAGATAGATCAAAAATGACATTTATAAAACAAAAAAATGTAATTATCATGATTTCCACAAAAATATTAATCAGCACAACTGTTTTCAAAATTGACAATAATAAGAAATGTTTCTTGAGCAGCAAATCAGCATTTTAGAATGATTTCTGAAGGATCATGTGACAGTGAAGACTGGAGTAACGATGCTGAAAATTCAGCTATGCATCACAGGAATGCATTTAAAAAGTAAAAATGTTAAATATATATTTTACTGTATTTCTGATCAAATGCAGCTTTTGTAAGCATAAAAGACTTAATTTTAAAAACATTTAAAAAAAGCATGCTGTTCCGAATATATTCCAGCATCTGTATGTGTGTATGACACGACTTACTTGAGAGAAATATCACTCTACTGCCTCAGAATGAGCTTAATTTAAAGGTGGAATGGCCAGTTAGTCCTCATGTGAAGTAGAACCTTTCAGAGAAAGCCTGATAAGAAACATCTGCCCTTGTCAATGTGAAATGCTTGCACAGTGTTTCATCTCTTCAGCATTTTCTTTTATAGCTAGGCTAAATTTGTCTGTCAGACATATGTGAGTTCTGTATATTGCTTTTCACTTGATCCCAATCTGTTTTTCCGTGCTCTGTTGAGTCATTGCAATAAATACAGCGTGGAAACTCATGTTACATTTGTCCTCCAGATCTCTAACTCTTTTTATCTCTTTCTGCCCTGCTCACCTTCAATATCCGGCCTGGTACTTGTCTTACAGAAAAGAGTAATGAGTAATCAAAGTTAACCTTAGAGGAATAGTGAACATTTGCTGAAAATGCATTCACCCTCATTTAAGATGTAGATGAGTTTGTTAATTTATCAGAACAGATCTGGAGAAATGTAGCATTACATCACTTGCTCACCAATGGATCCTCTGCAGTGAATGGGTGCCGTCAGAATGAGAGTCCAAACAGCTGATAAAAACATCACAATAATCCACACAACTCCAGTCATCAATTAACATCTTGTGAAGTGAAAAGCTGCATTTTTGTAAGAAACAAATCTATCATTATAACGTTTTTAACTTTAAACTGTCATTGCAGGCTAAAATACAAGTCCTATATCCATAATAATGCTTCCTCCAGTGGAAAAGTCATCTCGTCTGAATCAGGAGAGAAATATGCACAGATCAAGCACTGTTTACAAGTGAAAACAGTCCAAAAGAGTTTTACATCCAATTATGTGGGTGGATTTTAATGTGAGGACAACAGGGAATGGGCTGTTTCACTAGAGGAAGAGTTATTATGGATTATGGACTCAATTTGTCTGGATGCTTTGTCTTTGAAGTTAAAAACGCCGGCTTAATGATGGATTTGTTTCATACAAATACGCAGCTATTTACTTCACAAGATGTTAATGGATGGACTGGAGTCATGTGGATTATTTTCGGATTATTGTGATGTTTTTTTATCAGCTGTTTGGACTATCATTCTGATGGCACCTATTCACTGCAGAGGATCCATTGGTGAGCAAGTGATGTAATGTTAAATTTCTCCAAATCTGTTCTGATGAAGAAACAAACTACATCTTGGAAAGCCTGAGGGTGAGTGCATTTTATGCAAACTTTAATTTTTGGTTTTCTCTTTAAGATATTAATAGCGATTTAATGTATTTTAAACTATTACAGCCATAAAGTTACACAATCACTGATTATAATGATCATTACAGCAGCTCATGTGAACGTCAGATGGACAGTAGGAGTTGTCACATTCTGATGGAGGTGTTAAAAAGACGGTGTTTTGTATTCAAAAGGTTCTGTGACAAATATTGATCTGACACCAAAAGAAAATGTACGATTATTGCCATGGCCTGGCAGCCGCTCAGATATTTCATTTTGTTCCGATTTTCTTGCTTGACTGATTTTCAGTAGCTGGTGACTCTACCGCTGCTGTTTGGTCGCAGGTCTCAAGGGATGAGTGACAGATAGTGAAAAGGACAAAGATTCACTCAGCCAAAGTCAATCCAAATAAACAGTCATTTTGAAGTAGAGCTTTTGCATGGTCTACCATCCTCAGGAAGCTCCTAAATGTACTAAATCACAATGGCTGTGTTCCAAAACCTAGTTAGCTGACTTGCTGTCTGCTCACTACATAAGCAGCTATGTAGGAAAGCTCTATTATAGGCTGCAACTCATACAAATAGTGCTCCTTATGCGAAATGCACAGGGGAGTTGTGTTAGACATAGAGTTTGTATGTTGCTAAGCTAACGAGGTAATACCAAAAACATCTCTGTTACGTATGATAAACCTCATTCCCTAATATAGGGAACAGAGACGTGTGTCGGAATGACAGTATGGGGCCGTCCTTGAAAGCCCCAATCACCTCTGAGAGTATCAGAAAAGGCCAATGAAAATTGGCGTGCAGAGGGGACTTTCAGCGATGGCCCCCATACTGTCAGGGAATGAGGGTTACCATACATAATCAAGATGTTTTTGGTATTACGTCGTAAGCTTATAAACATTCAAACTCTGTCTCTAATACTGGACTAGACCTAAGAGCGGACTAGAACTAAGAGTGCACGTTATCACCTCAGAGAGGGGAAAGGCGCTATCTGAAGCACTACATTCACCCAGTTCGTCAAGATCTTACCCGATATAACCGAAACTCAAGACGAAACTGGTTCCATTTGGAGATTGTAGAATCTCGCAAAGGTGTTGGGTGTAGCCCAGTCCGCAGCTCTACATATGTCTGCTAACGAAGCACCATGTGCCAATGCCGAAGTAGCAGCAATGCCATGGGCGGAGTGAGCCCTCACTCCCAGAGGACATGGCACACCATCGGCTTGATATGCCCGAGAAATGGCATCCACAATCCAGTGGGCCATTCTTTGTTTGGAGACAGCCTTTCCTTCTGCTGACCTCCAAAGCAGCCAACGAGCTGTTCAGATTGCCTGAAACTCTGAGTTCGGTCCACATAAATGTGCAGAGCGTGTACTGGACATAACAGAGACAAGACTGGGTTTCCCTCCTCTGGAGGAAATGCTTGCAGGTTCACCATTTGGCCATCTTCAGGGAGAGCGCCAGTGCATCCATACCGAGAGGAGCCTCTGTCAGGGAGTACCATAGGGTACAATGGGAGGATTCCTGGGAGGCAAACAGGTCCACCTGAGCCTCGCTGAATTGACTCCAGATCAGCTGGATCACCAGGGGATGGAGTCGCTATTCTCCACGGAGCGTGACCTGTCGCGAAAGTGCATCGGCTGCATGATTGAGGTCGCCTGGGATGTAAACAGCATGCAGTGGTTTCAGTTGCTGCTGACTCCAAAGTAGAAGATGGCAGGTGAGTTGCGACATGCGACGAGAGTGGATCCTGCCCTGGCAATTTATATATGCCACTGTCGCTGTGTTGTCCATCTGGACTAACATGTGACTGCTCTGAATCAAAGGCCGAAGCCTCCACAGAGCCAACAATATAGCCAGCAACTCCAAGCAGTTGATGTGCCAATGCAGGGCGAGGTCCTCTCCAGGAGCCCGAAACTGCATGGCCATTGCACACGGTGTCCCAGCCTGTCTTGGAGGCGTCTGTTGTGACAACACCACAGCTAGTCACTTGGCCTAAAGGAACTCCTGCCCATAGAAACACAATGTCCAACCAAGGGCTGAAGAGGAGGCAACAGATCGGCGTGATAGCCATGCGATCTGTGCTATCATCTCATTCCATCTTGGGACTCGAGTCTGAAGCCAGTGCTGTAGCAGTCTCACATGCATCAAACTGAGTGGCGTGACCACGGCTGAGGATGCCATATGCCCCAGGAACCTCTGAAAGTATTTCAGTGGAACCACTGTCTTGTGCTTAAACTCAAGCAATTCAGCACTGACTGACTGAGCACTATCTAGAGAAAAAACATGCTATCATGGTGACCGTGTCCAACTCCACACTGAGAAAAGAGATGCTCTGCACAGAAGAGAGCTTGCTCTTCTCCCAGTTGACCCAAAGTTCCAATCGGGGCAGGTGCAAAAGGACCTGGTCCCTGTGTTCGCAAACCCTTGCTTGTGAAGGAGGCGGCTCGTCCTTCAAGGGTAGTGAAGAAGGTGGAGCCCGCAAAGCTTGTCCTGGCCGAAAGCAGCACACACCATGTGAGCTCCCCGTGCACTTCCGGGAAGAAGGGCACCAGGGGGGAGGGCGCTTGCCCAGCACCTCCCGACCCGAGAAACCAATCATCCAACCGCGAGCACTTGGGGGAGGGCGGTGGAACGTACTCCAACCCAATGCTTGCGGTGACCTGGGCTTGCACAGCCACCAACTCCACGTCAAACTCAGACTGGGCTGGAACACCTAAAGGCAGCAGCCCAGCAGTGTCCAAAGCTGAAGTGCAGCTTGCACGCGGCCAGCCTTTTATACCCACATATATGGGCGTGGCCTCGCATGCAAGTTCTGCACGCCAATTTTCATTGGCCTTTTCTGATACTTACAGAGGTGATTGTGGCTCTCAAGGAGGTCCCCCTTACTGTTGTTCCGACACTTGTCGGAGTGAATGACAGAAAGGGAACAGTATACACCCCAAGACGGTTCACTTGTATTACAATAACGCCTGTAATGCCACATTTAAGAGCGTCAAAACTGCATATGCTTGAATTTTGTGATAAATTAGACATTATTTGAGCGATGCGACTTTGTTTCTTAAGTGAAGGAAAACTGCAGACCCTGCCATGAACTACAGGTGATTTATAGGGTCAAATAGAACCTGCCTTAACTGCACAAATTTTTTTCTTTTTCTTTTTTAGATTGCATTTAAATTCAAATTCTAAAATAAATTAAAAATGCTTTATTGGCATGACTGTAAAAAGTACAATATTGCCAAAGCTTGGAATATATGTAGAGAAACATAATAACAATGAAAAGATCAAAATAATAGAAGAAAACATTATAACAATTTAACCTTAAATAAACAGTGTAACAAATTAGAACCTGAGTGAACATCCCTCTCCTAGTACTGTCTTTATTTGTTCCTCTTCGGTCATGGCTGTAAAGTTCTTTATGATGTTTGTGAATTTGTTCATGTATAGGTCTCTTATTGATTTAAATTTGTAACAGTGAAGTAGAAAGTGTGTCTCTGTCGCAATCTCTCATTTAAGTCTTATCACTGTTCGACAGCCCTATTTTGAGACATTCAAAGTCTGACATTTTTTTGAGCCTTTTGATTGACAGGATATAATTGGCTCTGATCATTGGCTGTTTTTAAAGAATCGGCCAATGGCTGATAGTGGCAGATAATTGCTTTTATCAGCTGATGCTGATTATTGCAGTAGCCCCTCACTGCAGAACAAAAATCCAGGGGGAGGGGTTGGATCCACATCTAGGGGGTGGAGATGGTAGGTTTAGGGGTGGAGATGGGTGGGTTTAGGGATCAGGTGGTGGAGACGGGTAGGTTTAGGTATATGTAAGGTGGGAGGAGTTGGATCTGGATCCAACCTCGCCCCCTGGATCTTGTGTTCTGCAGTGAGGACCATCTTGATTATTGGCCGATACATCGGTGCATCCTACTTAAGATCAAATGTAATTTGACCAGAAGAAGGTATCTTAGATGGAAGTGTAATTTTGGTGTTTTACAATGCTACAGTTCATGCTACCTATGTGTTTTACTCTCAGTTTTCAATATTTGAAAACATAATATTTGTTATGTACTGAAATGTTTATGGTACATTTGGGAACTTGGCATTAGTGTTAATCGGGCTGGTGAGAATGGTTATAAATGCTATGGCCTAAATGCCACAAAATATGTCCAAACGTCCTCTTTTTCTATTTCCTCCAGATGGCTTCAGCTACAGATAACCGTTATGGACAAAAGGAGTCTTCTGACCAGAACTTTGATTACATGTTCAAAATCCTGATCATCGGAAACAGCAGCGTTGGAAAGACCAGCTTTCTGTTTCGTTATGCAGATGACTCCTTCACGCCAGCATTTGTAAGCACGGTGGGCATCGACTTCAAGGTGAAGACCATCTACAGGAATGACAAGAGGATAAAGCTGCAGATCTGGGTGAGATCATGTTTCCCATCAGCTCATCAGTGGAACACATCTGTGCCAGTTTAAGGCCTTGTTGTGTTTGTTTAATGAAGACAGAGGTAAAAGGTGCTTTTTGTTTTTTTTTTAATAATGAATCAATAAAAGTCAGCATTCTTGCTGTTTTCTTACTGGAAGGTCCATAGTAGGTGATCTGTTGAGATTTTACTGGTGTTTAAAGTCACTGATATTGATCGTCTCATTTCAGACCAATAAATCTCATTTAAATCTTAGAAACAGAGCTGTGGCTTAATGGGCAGGCACCATCATGGACCCGCTGAGTTTAACAGCATGTAAAATGGCAGAAATTAAATACAATTGTGATAGAAATGCCATAAACCTAAACATTTTAAATCAACCAATGGAGCAAAAAATCAACCAATTAAGCCGTTCTGGTTTAATGGAGAAATGTTGTGGTCTACATTCAAAAAAATATTTAGGCCTAAATTTAAGATTTATGTTATCTGAATTGCATATACAATTTCCATCAGTTTAGATTCCAAAGGTTTAACATAAACAAACTAATAAACTTAATGTGATGCATTATTTGTCAATTAAACAAAAACTAGTAACATATCTGAAATAGTGCTAATCTACTGAATGTGTTGGAAACACACAATAACCAGGTTTATATATTTATCAATCAATCCGATTTGTTTCAATCTCATACATTTTAACTAATTGAATATTGCTTGTTTCACAGCTAGCCACAAACCAATGCTGATTATGCAGATTCTCAGCTATTTGAATTAATGCATTTTAAATAATAAAAAAAAACATTAATTTAAATCAAATCAAAAGAGTCAAAAATAAACTATTTATCTATAGGTTTGGGGAGGTTTGCTGATGTGCTGGATGAGTAACCAATCGGAATCTCTTGTGATGTATCCAGACCCCTCCCCCAGTGCCTTAAATTTCCCTCTGGTGGAAGACAACCCTCCCCCACCCCACAGACCCGAGCAAATACACACACACTCCCACCATCTTTGCCATAGATAAAATATAGAGTTGTGCATCATGCAGTATAGGGTACAAAAGACATGAACATTTGGCTATATTCAGAACTGAATACTTGCCATTTATTGAATACCACATAAAATGTAGTGTATATTCCCTACTATATCTTAAAAATCATGTAATGCAATGATAAATATATCAGACAGTACTATGCTACATTGTCACATGACCTCAAGCGTGATTCAAAGAGTGGGGTCCATCTTGGAAATATAGGAGGTTATTTCACATTTTAACCCTGTAAAGCCTGACATATTAAATAATAGTAAGAAAATGAATGTATTTTTTGATTGAAACAGGTTATTAAGCCTTTAGACAAAATATATTTAAAAAATATAAAATTGCTAATGTTTTTTTTGTTCAGTATCATATTTGATACATCAGGCTTTTATGGCTCGTAAATATAGGAGAATATGGAGCTCATACAAATATAAATTTGGTGCAGTTGCTGATATTTATATGGCCGGAAATTAAGATGAAATATTGATAGATTTTAATGTGACTCAATGAGATCTTTATAACAGTATAACTTTCTTAAAATGCTTATAAATATCAGTTGTCGCTCTATATTTCCTATTAATGTCTTAGTAAGATGATATTTAAAGGGGTCATATGATGCGATTTAAAAAATTTTCCTTTCTCTTTGGAGTGTTGCAAGCTCTTGGTGCATAAAGAAGATCTGTAAAGTTGCAAAGACTAAAGTCTCAAATCCAAAGAGATATTCTTTATAAAAGTTAAGAGTCAGCCACACCTACCTAAAACGCCTCGTCCTAACATGCCCCCACATGTCTACATCACTATGTGGGAAGATTTGCATAACGCAGCCCAAATGTTCACGCAATGAAAGAAGGCGTAACTTTTATTCTCGCTGTAGTATTGTTGCTGCCGCCGCCATGTCATGAAGGCGCTGTGTGTTTTGTTGTGAAAGCAAAACCACTTTGTTTGGCCTTCCAAAAGAGGACGATATCTGCTTCATCATGCCTGGAGCTGATCCGTGCTGGTCGCTGAGGAAATACAACAACTTTGCGCTGTGGATCGCCGGATCGGCTTTCACCGTGGACGAAGCGGAGTCCAGCCCGGGGTCGTCACATGTGGTTGCCGCAAGCCTCCTTCGTCGAATCCGCTGGCCGCGCCGTTCTCAAGCGCACCGCCTCTGCTCACTCTAGCCCTCCGGCCGTTCCTCACACTAGCCCCCGGCCTCTGCTCACTCTAGCCGCCGCCGCTGCCGTGTGTGACGCTGTGAAAGCGAAACTACTTTGTTTGGCCTTCCAAAAATGGACACGACTAGAAATCAGTGGTTAAGTTGTATTTACAACACTGTTCCAGAACAGTTCAACCCAAATATTCAGATGTGTGCAGCGCATTCTTTGGAGGCCTGTTTACTGATCCTGGTAGAGTAGACTACAATGCCGGCTGTTCTGACTCACAGATTACGTACGTTTTTTATATTTAAAGAGTTATTATATTTTATATTTTTTATATTTAAAGCGAGTTTTTTGGGCAGTGTCGAGTAGGTCTTGTTGTTTGTCATTTCTCCGATCACAAATGCATCCCAGGATGTCTTTCGAAAAGAGTAGAGGTGTGACCTCGGCATCCTGGCCAAATTTGGCCATTGGCCTCTGATCATCATTACCTCCTAACAATCCCCATATCTGCTAATTGGCTTCATCACTCTGTCTCCTCTCCACCAGTAAGCTGGTGTGTGGTGGGCATTCTGGCGCACTATGGCTGTCGTTGCATCATCCAGGTGGATGCTGCACAATGGTGGTGAATGAGGAGATGCCCCCTGACAATGTAAAGCGCTTTGAGTGCCTAGAAAAGTGTTATATAAATGTAATGAATTAAAAAAAATTATAATCTATAATTATGTCCCCACTGGATGCAACGAATGCCTCGTTTATAATGGGTTTTCGTGTTTTTGAATCATCGCTCCGGCCTGACAGGGCATCATCACAATATGGTAGGGGCGTGACATTTCCGTCAGACGCTTGAGATATTCGGCCAATCACAACACACTGGATAGCTGGCCAATCACAGCACACCTCGCTTTTCAGACCGATGAGCTTTGTAAAAATCAACGCGTTTCAGAAAGGCGGGGCATAGAAGAGAAACAATAATGTACAGTATGTGGAAAATAATGTGTTTTTTGAACCTTAAACCGCATAAACATATTTCATTACACCAAATACACAAAATAATGTTCTTTTTAGCAACATCATATGACCCCTTTAAATGATTAGTTTTATTATAAAAGATCTGTAGTTTCCAAACATTTAATGCAATGCAATACAATGGTAACTATGAGATAGAAAAATAAACGTTTATCAAATGCCTGATGATCATATACTCACATTTTGAGTGATTTTTCTAAAAATGATGTATGGATAATAAAGTAACCTAAAGTAAGGTGCTTCAGTCCAGCAAATGTTTGTCTTGAAATATTAACAATATAAAATATTTTCTTATGTTTACTTAATAAAAATCATTAAAGATTATGTAAAGATTGGCCTTCTGTAACAAATATTCATAGGGTTAATCCAATTTTGTGTAAAAATGTCATGTCGCAAGAGATGTTAGGAATTGCAACTGATATTGTTCAGTTCATGACATGACAGTTCATTCGTCACATTAGAAATGGAAGGTCTAGTCAAGCGCATTGCATTGTGGTATTTAATTTTTTATTCAGTGGTGAAAATGGGCTTTCATAGGTTTTTGCTTAGCATGGATGCAAAATTTAATATGCAAAATACCCATAATGCTCTGGGCGGTTCAGGGACAGTGTAACAGAAAAAAAGAAACTCTACGCTGGTTTGCAGCATAGTTGAAAAGATGCTATATAACTGTGGTATCAGAGTCAAGAGCCAAACATAGTTTTGCAGTCTCACAGATCTTTGGTATATTAATAGGTCCATCAGTGCTGCTCAGTAGACACCATTTTGACCACATGAAGCCTCTTAGAGGTTACATTGGTTGTGAGGATTTAGTCTGTTGATTTATTACAGTAGGATTAGGCGGATGCGTGATGTATCATGATTCTTACTTATAGACAAACTTAAAAAAAAAAAAATTTTGTCAGCCCCTAGACAAGCTCTTGTTTGGCCTCCTGCATAAGTCAGGCCTCTAATGACTGAACGGAGTGTGTTCCTAATTAACAGGCTGATTTCTCTGGTGCAGTGATGCAGAGATCAGTTCCTTACATGGTGGATGTTTACTGTATTGCTATACTCTCAAGTTTCTTGATAGGAGGAGCTACATGTTAAAACCGAAACCACGGCTAAATCCTGTTTTCCTGGTTATGTGAAAACAAAAGTGCTGGGGGTCATTGAAGGAATGTTCAAAAAATGTATACTTTTATTCAGCAAAACTGCATTAAATTGATGAAAAGTGATAGTAGAGAGATTTATAATGTTACAAAAAAATTCTGTTTCAAATAAATGTTGTTCTTTTTTCAACAAGAACTATTATTGATAATTGAGCATAAATTATGATAATTGATGTTAAATGAGCAGCAAATCAGCATATTAGACCTTTAGAACACTGAAGACTGGAGTAATGATGCTGAAAATTCAGCTTTGCATCACAGGAATAAATTGCCTTTTAAAACAAATTCAAATAGAAAACAGTTCTTTTAAATTGTAATAATATTTCACAATATTACTATATTTAATGTTATTTTTTATTAAATAAATGCAGGCTTGGTGAGTATAAGAGACTTCTTTTAAAAACATTAAAATCTATTAAAACTATTCATTATAATATTATATTCATACTGTAATGGCATGATTGATCTAACCAACAAATGCATATTCTGTATATTTTAAATGTAAATGATTGGTTTTGCATTTGTTCCTATTTCGTCTTGTGCATTACTGGCTTGTTCCTTCACAGGACACTGCGGGACAGGAACGCTACAGAACCATCACCACCGCCTACTACCGCGGGGCCATGGGCTTCATCCTCATGTATGACATCACCAACGAGGAGTCTTTTGCCGCTGTGCAGGACTGGTGAGTTAACTAAACATGCGAAACTGCATGTTCTGTGTGTCTCTGCACGAATGAATGGCGCAGTTCGTCTACTACACAAACTCAAACACCCGCTGTGTTTTCAGCGTCTGCGTCTCGATATATGAGACATGAACACATGAACTTCATCTCTACAGCTGCTCTGACAGTCACTTCACCAGCTTTACACCGTTTCATTTGAGAAAAACTACCATCAAACACACTGAATCTCAAAGATCTTCATTACAAACCGACAAAATAAAAGTTTGCTTTAACTTGAAGAAATAATGACAGAAATATATTACTAGTGTATATTCAAACGTACTTCTCAAAGTAATAATATGTGACCCTGGACCACAAATCCAGTCATAAGGGTAAATTTTTCTAAATTGAGAATTATACATCATATGAAAGCTGAATAAATAATCTTTCCATTGATGTATGGTTTGTAAGGATAGGACAATATTTGACCGAAATACAACTATTTGAATATCTGGAATCTGAGAATGCAAAAAAATCTAAATATTGAGAAAATCGCCTTTAAAATTGTAAAGTTGTTGTTCTTAGCAATGCATATTACTAATCAAAAATTAAGTTTTAATATATTTACAGTAGGAGATTTACAAAATATCTTCATATGGCGCAGTTCGTCTACTACACAAACTCAAACACCCGCTGTGTTTTCAGCGTCTGCGTCTCGATATATGAGACATGAACACATGAACTTCATCTCTACAGCTGCTCTGACAGTCACTTCACCAGCTTTACACCGTTTCATTTGAGAAAAACTACCATCAAACACACTGAATCTCAAAGATCTTCATTACAAACCGACAAAATAAAAGTTTGCTTTAACTTGAAGAAATAATGACAGAAATATATTACTAGTGTATATTCAAACGTACTTCTCAAAGTAATAATATGTGACCCTGGACCACAAATCCAGTCATAAGGGTAAATTTTTCTAAATTGAGAATTATACATCATATGAAAGCTGAATAAATAATCTTTCCATTGATGTATGGTTTGTAAGGATAGGACAATATTTGACCGAAATACAACTATTTGAATATCTGGAATCTGAGAATGCAAAAAAATCTAAATATTGAGAAAATCGCCTTTAAAATTGTAAAGTTGTTGTTCTTAGCAATGCATATTACTAATCAAAAATTAAGTTTTAATATATTTACAGTAGGAGATTTACAAAATATCTTCATGGAACATGATCTTTACTTAATATCCTAATGATTTTTGGCATAAAAGAAAAATCGATAATTTTGACCCATACAATGTATTTTTGGCTATTGCTACAAATATACCCAGCGACTTAAGACTGGTTTTGTGGCCCAGGGTCACATATGATTATTATTATTATTTTATTTTTAAGGGATATCTAACAACCAATATTTTATTTTTCATCCAAGTTAAACAATTGTGTTTTTCAGTATTGCATTTGACAAAAAAAAAACAATGTCTTGTTATAAGTTAATTGTTATATTTTCATTTGATTACATTTTAAAGGATTGATAACATTTTTTACATTTTATTAATGCATTTCATTAAACACCAGTTTTGATGATAAATTTGTATTTAATCATAAAACCAAGGAAAAAATAAAATGGGAAACAGAATTTAGGAAAAAATAAATAAATTAAGGTAGCTACTCTGTGAAGTTTAATTGTGAATGTTTACATTTGTCCTCAAGGTCTAACAAACATGTGAAAGCATTTTCTGCGCCATTAATGGTAAATTAATATTGTGATAAATATTGATGATATATTTACATTTACATTTAGTCATTTAGCAGACGCTTTTATCCAAAGCGACTTACAAATGATATATGATATGAAAAAGAAATTGTGATAATATTTTTGACCATATCCCCCAGCCGTAGAGAAGTTAGTTTAACAAGCAAACATTTAATCAAATCTGACTGTCTCTTGCAGGTCCACACAGATTAAGACGTACTCATGGGATAACGCCCAGGTGCTACTAGTGGGCAACAAGTGTGACATGGAGGACGAGAGGGTTGTGGCCTCTGAGAGGGGACGACAGCTCTCCGAGCATCTCGGTAAGTCATGTTTCCAGGTTGGTGCAATATTTTTGAATATTCACAGCTATAGTTTTAAATATATTAAAGGTATGGTAGGTGATTTCGGAGAGGCTAGCTATAGCAAGCTAGCTTTGAAATCAAGATCCCCACCCTCCCATGAAGCGTAATCCTGAATTTTAGCATTGCAGTTTAAATTATTTGGCAAGAATATATTTGGCATAATATCATGCATAGTCATAAAGTAACATACATGTTAAAAGTTGGATAAAACCATCTAAATCAGATTTGAAATATTGTCTAAAAAATCTACAGAGAAGTTTAAGTCGGGAAAAGTATGGCATTTTTTGAAATTTTGAAATGATAGAATGTGTAAACATGCTGCTCTTGTTGGCAGCTCACTTTAGAGTTTTAGAACAAGGACTTGGTCTTGACTTGGTTTCTTCTTTTGTCCGTAGGTTTTGAGTTTTTTGAGGCCAGTGCCAAGGACAACATTAACATTAAACAAACCTTCGAGCGGCTGGTGGACATAATCTGCGAGAAGATGTCAGAGAGCCTGGATGCCGCTGATCCTGCAGTGACGGGAGCCAAACAGGGGCCGCAGCTCACCGAGCAGCCCACCGCTCCGCACCAGGACTGCGCCTGCTGAAAACCCCATGGCTCTATCTGCCTTGCACCAACACACAAAAACAACAAGTTTAGGTATTTAAAAAGAACAAGAAACATAAAACCCTCAATTCCCTTACTGCCTCCTCTGGTCACATTCTCTAACTCCTCCCCCTCCTCTCTGAATACACATTTAGACATCTCAAACTTTGAAAAGATTTTATTCAACAAGCAATCCATTCAATTTTTAAAAGGAAAGCCTTAGTGCCCTTTAAAGGGATAGTTCACCCATAAATGAGAATTCTGTCATCGTTTACTCTCCCTCAAGTTGTTCCAAACTTATATGAATTTCACACAAAATATATTTTGAAGAATGTTTAACCAAACAGTTGTTGGTCCGCTTTGACTCCCTTAGTATGGAAAAAAATACTATAAAAAGTAAATGGGGACCAGCAACTGTTTGTTTAAACACATTCTTCAAAATATCTTCTTTTATGTTCAGCAGAAGAAATAAATTCCTAGTTTTGGAACAACTTGATGGAGAGTAAACAATGAACGAATTTTAATTTTTAGGTGAACTATCCCTTTAAGGGTTTGATTAGGCCTGAAATTATGATTAAGCCCACATTATCTTTTAAAGACTTTATAATTAGGCCTATATTTAAATGTTAGGAGTGTGTGGTTAGGCCTTAGTGACAGAATCACTTATTTTAAGTTTTCGATGCCTTCATTTCCCTTCATATTTTAACGTTTTTTTTCTTCTACACTTCCATATCCTTATATTATTTATGAACAAATAGAAAAAGAGGAATGGAGAGATATTTCTATATATTTATTCCAAAAAGTGTACATAATAAATAGTTAGAAATACATATCTAAAATGTTTTGTTATTTTTTGAAAATTCTGACAAATATAAAGAAAGTTAGAGAAGTCAATACATATGTTTTCATGGTAATTCTTTGCAGTGCTCGTCACAAACCTTTCTTGCTTATTTCGTATCTGTGACATTGTATCTTGTCCACTGCCTTGCCTCATGTAATGTCAGTCCCGAGACTGAAAGCCAGATATCATACACAAACATTCCTTAACGTAAGTTTGCATGGAAGGAAATAAAGCCATTTAGGCAAATAGTGGTAGGATTCCTTTCTCAATGCTTCGTTAGGTCAAGTTAAGTGTATTTCTAGTCAAAATCTGAGTTTGATTTGCAGCCATGCTGTTGCTTATTTCACTATAGCAGCAGAGCCATAAGCTCGACCTACATACTATCAACAATATACTTATACGCTCTCAAAATTAAGCAAAAGTTGCTGAGATTTGACTGGCATTTCCCATAATGACTCTCTAGACTGGCGTGTCCAGTGAAAGATTTTACTTGGCTCTGTATAATACCAGGCCTGCGACTATAATGCAAAAATCAGTTTGCAAAAAAAAAAGCCCAATGAGTATTAACGTTTACATGTGCTAGATCCTCTCTGATTATTCCTGCATCTTTCCTTTGCTATTCTGTCTTCCTTTAGTGAAAACTTACTGTAAATACATTCGAGTCTTTGGTTTTATGTGTGGACTGTGTTGTATCGATTTTGGGCTTTAAAAAAAATCTAGGTGATATTAAGAAAAAAACTACAAAAGAGGATATAAAGGATGTTCTTTACCTGCCGTTGTGTATGCCTGCTTGTGAATGAATGTCACTTTAGTACAGAGCAATATTGAAGAAATACCTTTCCATGTGTTACAGATTATTTACCATTTTGTTAACATAAACACAACAGTTTTGTAGGATGTAATGGGAATGTGATTGTTTGATTAAGTGGGTTAAATCCTAGTTGAAAAGTACTGTTGTAAACCAAAGCAGGCAGATAGACTGATAGTCACGTCTACTGTGGGGCAGGTTTGCAGAAATAAAAAAGCCTGACTGTATTTGTGGCGAATGCTGTTCATTATTTAAAACCGCTTATGTTGAAAACCAAATGTTGAAATGTTATGTAGATGTCAGCAGAGCCATTGCTACATTCACTAGGCCTGGGACAAGTTGTTTGAAGGTGGGTCCCCTCTCTTTTAGGCCTAATGAGCAGTTGATATAGACAGAGGACCTTAGTGAACCCCTCTCATCGCCCTGGATATCAGAAATGAGACGAGAATGAGTTCGAATCTTTATGAACATCACAGCTCACCATGTAAGGTAGCCGCTCCACATTCAGATCGGTTTAACACGACTAAGAGTTTGTTCTCCACTTCCTACATTTTTATCTAGAATTATTTTTATTCATGCTTTCCATTGTGATTTTTTTTCTTTTTCTTTTTCTGATAATCAAGTGTAATGTACAAGGAAAAAACACTAATATGCAGTAGTAAATGTACTGTACTTACAATAAGGGGTTTAGTGTCAAAGTGTCCAGTGGTGAAATTGACCAAATCAACTGTCTATGTTGTGAAAATGACTGAACTTATAAAAAAAATAAACGTTTGTGCTGTTTACTTGAGACTATGTTGCGTCTTTGTCAGCAATAGACCTTTGTCAGGTTAGACGCCATATTGCATTAATAATGTAATAGACTTACAGTGTCAAAGGCCCTAGATCACGTAATTATCACAATTCAGAACCGTTTTATGGAGTATTTGTTTACTGAACGGGTTTTTTCCCCGGAAAAAGGTTTCGTCAGCTGAACAACCGTCGCGTTGTTAAAACAACAGTACAATCCATCGACGCTCACAGCCTCGTTTACATTCCCGTCAAATATTTAATATGGCGCTACCCTGACTAAGGTCTTTTGGCCTGTCATCCTAAATGAATACCTCTCTATCTATGCCGTTTCATTGACAAAACAACCACAAGAGGGAACTAAAGACTCAACTATCGCCGTTGACCTAAAAACAGCAGCACTCCCGCTTGGAAATCGTGTTAGGATTAAAGGCTGAATCAGCTGTTGTCATGGTAACAGTCGGCCACGTAAGGGCCAAGCGAGGAAACGCCACTGATTGGCTGGAAGGAAAATGCTGAGCGTAATCATATTTCTTCAGTTATCCTGGTCCAGGTCAGTTAAAATATCTCCAGTCGCAGTGAAATATAATATTAAACTTGTATGTGTTTTTTTAAAGCTGGTTTCGCAATTACATACAGGTTTGGAACAACCTGAAGGTGAGTAAATGATGACAGTTTTCAAACTATCCCTTTGAGGCAGAGACGACTCTTGGCAAGCCATTTTTATTTTGATAAATAGTCAGTTTTTTTTACTAGACCTTAGTTTCGGAGATCTGTAGAAGGGTAAAGACAGCAGTTACCTAAGATGTTACTTAATGTTTAATTCATACAACTTGTTTCCATTTCTTTAGATGTAATAAAGCGCTCACACATATTAACAGCAACTGCAATATTTAACAAAAATTGTTTATTCACAAGTGCATTGTTACACCATGGTTGTATTTTAAAGCACAAAAACAAAAAAACAGCAAATGTGAAAACATGCATCAAAATTTGAGAGAACAGAAAATAAAAACAATTTGGCGAAATTGGAGAGCATCTTTACATCGACTTGTCCAACTTGAAATCTGAGAGATCCAGGACGCCAAAAACGCTCTTTTTTCGGTTGATGATCAAACTGAGAAAGTAGATGACAAAAAGTATGAGACAGTCTGTAAAAATTCACATGACAAATGTTCTGTGTTTTTCCATTAAGGGCTTTTACAACAAACTCAGGGCAAAAAAGTTGACGAACACCGTTTTTTATGCACAAACTGAGGCTTGTAAATGAGTCTCTAAAAGAAAATATTCAACCTTACGATGCTAATGTGTGAATGTCAAGAGACCTGAAAAGGTGCTTGTGTGTCCAAATGGAGTAAATCTTAAAGGGGTCATATGATGAGATTTAAATTTTTCCTTTCTCTTTGGAGTGTTACAAGTTCTTGGTGCATAAAGAAGATCTGTGAAGTTGCAAAAACTAAAGTCTCAAATCCAAAGAGATATTCTTTATGAAAGTTCAGAGTCAGCCACGCCTACCTAAAACGGCTCGTTCTATCACGCCCCCACATACCTACCTCACTGTGTGGGAAGATTTGCATTACGCCGCCCAAATGTTCACGCAAAGAAAGAAGGCGTAACTGTTATTCTCGCTGTAGTATTGTTGACGCTGCAGCCATGTCGTGAAGACGCTGTGTGCTTCGTTGTGAAAGCGAAACTACTTTGTTTGATCTTCCAAAAGAGGACACGACTACAAATCAGTGGTTAAGTTGTATTTACCACACTGTTCCAGAACAGTTTAACCCAAATATCCAGATGTGTGCAGCACATTTTATGGAGGACTGTTTCCTGATCCTGGAAGAGTAGACTACAATGCTGGCTGTTCTGCCTCACGTAAGTACGTTTTCATTTAAAGGATTTGCCACTGATGATTCAAACGCGAGTTTTCGCCAGTGTAGAGTAGCACTTGTTGTTTGTCATTTCTCTGATCACAAATGCAGACAGAGTTTTGTGTTTACGCGGCACGATGCAATGCAACGCAACGCGTAAAAATACAGTACAAGTAATTATAATCAGTAATTATGTCCCTAGGGCTGTCGCGATAACCGCAAAATCGCAATACCGCGCTATTGACGAGCAAACCGCAGAGGAATGCAAGAACCGCAGCAACCGCGATTGTTCCGTGTTTTATTTTTTCGTAAGGTTATGCCCTTCTCGTTTTACACTTCACGCAAGTGGACTGAATATTAAACAAGTTAGTAATGATAATGTGTACCATGCTGATTTGTACAGAGGCTCCGTAGATTTGCACTTAACAAGCCTAAACAGACAGTGAATGAGAGAGAGATCGACTGAGCGCGTGTGATTACTTGCGTCTGTCCTCTAGGCCGAGTCATATATATTTGTGAAATAATGTTCTTTTTAGCAACATCATATGACCCCTTTAAACTAACACATGACAGGAAGATCTGTTTTTTTATCTAGTGTTGGTTTTTGACACCTTGTGGTTTTCCAGGCTTTTTGTCTTGCTGTCCACGGCCAGTTCCCAGCATGCCTCTGCCACGGCCACCAAAAATACCTAAAAACAAAAACAAAACAAGCCTGTGTATGCATTTTGGAAACTGTGACTGCAATGTTTAACCTGATAAAAGAAATTATATCGCAAAAAAGTTGTTTGTAACGAGACTTTTATTATAAAATCAAGATAAACAATCATGCTAAAAATTAGTAAACCGTGATCATTTTTCATGCAAAGTGTTCAAAAGATAACATCCATATATAAAATAGAATTAAAAAAAATATTTATGATACAACACATCTTCAATATAAACTGTTACATGTGAACATTTTGTTTCAGTATGTCTTTTATGTGTTTGTTAGAGGTTGAATTTAAATACAATACCGCCCATACTACCATGCACTGTGTGAAAATATGAAAAAAAAGATGGTTCACGTCCTTATATGGATCACCATTGGACCTTGGTGGTCATCTAGTGGAAAAGTTTGGTACTGCGCCCAAACAAAATATTACTGAAAGCTATTTATTTTTTTAGTGATGAACCTCAAATTTGTAACACAGCTTGGTTAGTTTTATGGCTTTGATCTTCTAGCAGTTTTAGAGTCCAACATATTTTGCAACAGATGTTTTAGATTAAATATAAAACTAATTTTTTCATAAACTTTTTTTCACTCTGATATTTGGAAGATTATTGTTAGCTTTCAAACAAGACATATGCTCCATATTGTCTATGCTCCAAAGTATTCAAGATTTACAACTATTTAAGATGGAAACGTCATTTTCAAAAGTGGGACTGAGAGTTAACAGGTTAAAAAGAAGATACTTTGAAGAATGTTTGTAACCAAACAGTTGACGGTAGCCATTAACCTCCATAGTATTTTCTTCCGTATAACGGGAGTCGATGGCTACCGTCAACTGTTTAGTTACCAACATTCTTCAAAGTATCTTCTATTTAGTGTTTAACAGAAGAAACTCATACAGGTTTGGAACAACTTTAGGGCGTGTAAACGATGATAGAATTTTCATTTTTGAATTTTAGCATTTAGAACTTTCATTGTCCCTTTAAGTTCACCCATAAATGAAACTTCTGTCCCAGTATTCCTTTAACAAGGGCTTTAAAATGTGTCTAACCTCTGACGGATCCACCGCCTCTTCCAGGTACGCCTCCTCTGCCCTTTCCCTGTGGCTTGTTCTGCTGCATGCCTCCCCGGCCACGTCCCTTTGATAGCACTTCCTCTTTCACCATATCTATGATCTCATCAGGGATTCGTAAGTATTTAATGGTGCTTCCTCTGATGTAGCATTCCGGCATCCTCCAAAATTTATCTCCATCCTGCAATTCAGAGCAGGCAGAAACAACAATTACATTCCGGCACAGACACAAATGCCATAATCGCTCAATCATGCTTGTTTATGCAATCAAAAATGTTTCAAATATTTCAAAGAACCCTGTATCTCGAGGAAAGAGGTTTTATTTACCCGTGAGGTGCAAATAACTTCTCTCAAATTGATGTTCATCCAGTTGTCACAGCTGACCAGATGGCCGTTGTACGTCTCACCATTCTTTAACTCCACCAGCTGAAAACAAAAGCAGTCTAACTTAAAACACAACTTATTAAAAGCCATTTCCATTTATTTGTTATGCTAGTTGGTCCCTTATAAAAATGTAATGTGGCAGTACAGTGATTTGCATCAGATGGTATTACAGTGTAAAACTGACTGCTCCCTTTTCAGTGACCTTGGTTCTTTTTCTCATCTTCACCATATTGGCAAAAATTCTTCAATTAATAGTTTTAAGCCAAACCAACCAGTATAACAGCATTACAGACTCTGATCTGAAGAAACAAAAAAGCTAATACAATGGTACGATACAAAGTATAAAAATTAGAGGTCGACCAAATTATCGGTTTTGCCGATTAATCGTCACCGATAGTTGATTGCTGGAGCTATCGGTTATCGGCAAAAATCAATACCGATAGTTTTCCGGGTTGCGTCCATTGCTGGAGCGGCTGAGAAGGGTCTGCTGTCATTACACAGTGCGAGAGCGGCCTCTAGTGGTTGAAATCACTGACAGCACGTGCTATTTGTTTAGACACGTGATACTGCACGCTGAACAGAGCGAGAAACTTCAGATGCGGATTTAAATGCAGCCGACAGAAAATCCTGCCGCGCCACAGAGCGCCATTCACATAGGTTTCCTTTAAATTACATTATATTGGTCCCGAATCGTTGTTAATGTACATAATGAATTGTGTATTGTGCATTTTCAGCAAAACGTTTGTCTTTCTGTGGCTCTAACAAAGTCTGTGTGCTTCATTTATAGAGCTATAATATAGGTTTGTGCTTTCTCTTTCCGTTTGCTCCGCTATTATTATTTTTTTTTTTTACTACTACTACTAGTATGGTTCAGTACTGTTTTTGTTAATAAAGCACTATTTTAGTTTTTGTTCAGTATCAATTTTAAAACTATCGGTTAATTAATCGGTATCGGCCAGTGTGGTCCAACCTAGCTATCGGTATCGGCAAAATCCACTATCGGTCGACCTCTAATAAAAAATAACATGTTTGCTCATTCAGGGTTTCTGCAGTTCTTAATTTGCCCTTATATAATTAAGAATAGTATAATATGCACATATTTAAAGCCATAAAAATTCATAAATAGGGCCCTATGAAATGTAATCTAAATTAGACCTTTTTTTGGACTGTTTTTTTCTTGTAAACGGTGCTTGATCTTTGCATATTTCTCTCCTGATTCAAACAAGACTACTTTTTCACTGGAGGAAGCAATATTATAGAGAGAGGACGCATCTGAAGTTGAAAACATCTTGATGATGGATTAGTTTCTTACAAACATGAAGCGTTTAGCTTCACATGGCATTAATTGATGGACTGGAGTCATGTGGATTATTGCAATGTTTGTATCAGCTGTTTGGACTCTCATTCTGACGGCACCCATTCAATGAAAAGGATCCATTGGTGAGCAAGTGATATGTAATGCTAAATCTCTCCACATCTGTTCTGTAAACTATTCCTTGCACAGGTGATGTGAGCTGCCTCATACTCACCATAGGGTGGTTCTGTGCGGTCTTCAGTAAAGATAACGGGAGCTAGGAGAGAAGAAATCATCAAATGAACCATTAAGGGTGGTGATGATGACAATATTTTACATAAAAGCGCATGAAAACTTTCTTCAGTGCTCTGGATGGATTGTTTTTACTCATGATTACTGAATAAAGATTTTAAAAACACGAACAGAAATTGCACAAGAACAGCTATTAGACTGGAATTAATTATATAAGAATTATATATGGTGTCAATTCCAAAATCTAGGGACAGCCTTGTCAATGGATAACGCACCATTGCATTTTCAAATATTTCTTAGTGATGCGAGTAAATATTGTGTAAAATAAAAAGTATTGTATTCAGTTCTGAAACTATGTGCATCGATCTGGCTGACATTTCAATACATTTGGTCGGCATTAGACACTGAAAGCCCAAATCTGTTGAGTACTAAAGTGCATCGCATGTGTCTGTGGTACTTTATAACGGGGTTCGTTTTTAAAACAACTAGAAACTAGCCTATTAAAACAAGATCCCACGTCTACGTGCAAAAACGAGTTCGTTCACTGAACGTAACTATATTAGCAATGCAGACCGGTACCTGAGCTAACGTTACGACTTCTCTCCTCAACACAGCAACTGAGCTTCAGTTTAACTAGCCAGCGAGTTTATAGACGTCGCTTACCATGTCAGCAGAGCGGCTGATCAGTCTTTTTAAATCTCTAATAAAGTTTCAATCAGCTAAAGTCTTCAATCACGAAGATTAGTTGTGAATCTTCTGTGCAGCACAAGGTGGTTTGCAAAACGTTTACGGTTGTACTTCCAGGTGAAAGCGGAAGTTGTCAAAATAAAAGCCCATATACTAAATATCGATATCATCGTGATATTTACTGCAGTGATATTGAATATCATCACAATTAAAAGAACCAAAGACTTAAACTACTTCAGTCTGTGTGCACTGAATTTATTTAATACACAAGTTTCACAATTTGAGTTGAATTACTGAAATAAATGAACTTTTCCAAGACATTCTAATTTATTGAGATGCACCTGTATTAATTTAGCAACACACTCAACATCGATCATAAAATGCGGTTTATTTTGGAATACTGATCACATATTATTTTATACTTTGGATTATGGCACTTTTACGCTATATACACACATCTGAATGTACAACACTTCAAGAATCCACTGCTGTCGTGTTTGCACTGCATTTTTTCGCCTCCTTTCTGTTCTGTTTCTTCTTTTGTCTTCTGATCTTCTCTTGTTCGTGTTTCCTTTTTTCTTCTAAATCTGGATCCTGTGATCGATATAAAACAAGTTTAGGTCAAAATAAATAGACATATTTAAATAAAGTATAATAATAATTCATTAAAATATATATTTAATAACAAGTATTGTTATGACTATTATTAATATTATGTTTTGTTATTGAAGTATTAATTGAATTGTTATATATATATATATATATATATATATATATATATATAGTTACATAATCTTTTCTGATAATGTAGTACAATGTTTAAAGAATGCATTTACAATAAAACTACTTACTTTTCCCTCCAGAATCATTTGCTTCCTTTTGTTTATCTTCTTTTTCTCATCAAAATCAGTGGATTCCAGTCTCTATAACAGAATTACAAACTGTAAGATTTTGCCAGCGTGTTATATATAAAATATGTACATTGAAAAAGTCTTCTCTCACAATTTCAGACTGCCGTCTTGTTACATTGACTTGCGTGAGGATCTTCAACACCTCTTTTTCTTCAACAGGAAACTCACTCAGCTTCGCCTCTAAACACACAAAACAGCGATCAAACAAATGTACACTTACAGCAAGTCATTTCATACTCCAGTGCTTCTGAGCATTTAAGGAACTTTTAATCACAGTACAGTATAAATGACGATTTGAAAGTGCTCTCTTTTTAAGCAGAAAGCAGATTTAGTTGTGAACTTACGGATCTGCTCCTCAATGGCACTGATGAGATGGATGTCATACTGTGTGACTAGTGTGATTGCTACACCATTTCGGCCTGGACAAAACAAAAAGGACATTATAAAACAGATGGTCCAGTTCTGAATGTGGACTTGACAATATAGCGTTCCAACCAACTAAAAATCTATGATATAGTAACGTTTACGATGTAAAAATAGGGCTGCACAATTAATCAAAAATGTGTATTTTCCAAGATTACAAATTACAGATTTCACAACTATTTGATCATAAAAAGTGTTACAGTAATTACACCTTCCATATCTTTTGTTGTTGATGGTAGAAGTCAATCAAACTCAATGTACTTTGGCACAGATCCATCGGTCACTTGGTATTACGGCTAACAAACACTAATATAATATCTCAGTGTTTATAAAATCCCATCTGATGTTTTTATGCATACATGTGTCACTTTTTTGTCATGTCATGCGAATCATTTTTTATATTAGTGCAGTTCAGAGTGATATTAATGCATATTAAGGATATTTTTATTACTCAATTCTTTTACAGATTTAAGAAAAATATATAAATGAATATCTATTCTTAAATTGTATATTATAATGCTGTGAGCCCATAATGAATTACCGCATTTAAAATGAGTGATTTTTAGACTTTAGCGTTGTATATTTTTAATGAATACTAAAGAAAATAGTATAGAATTGTAAAATTAGCCGTAACATTAAATAATCAGTGTATCAGTATTAGCCAGAATCTTAGCACTGGTGCATCCCTAAGCAAAACTACTGAGAAGCACTGTTCCTGAGCAAGGATAAGCATGACTATATTCACAATATAACAAAGCCTCTCATATCTTACTGCTAACTCTTCAGATCTCACTGTTAAAGAGCTCTAAACTCACCGGCTCGAGCGGTTCGTCCCACTCTGTGGATGTAGATTTTTGGCAAACCTGGTGTGTTGTGGTTAATAACAACTTGCACCGTAGGGATATCCAAACCCCTTCATAGAAGACCAGAACGAACAAACACACGAAAGTACAGCAAATTAGAAAACAGCAAAGAGATGATGAGCAATTGTGAGATGTGTTGAGAAATATTTGCTCTGTACCTTGCAGCAACATCTGTAGCTATGAGAATTTTAAAGACATTAGACTTGAACTTTGCAAGGTTGGCAAAGCGCTGTCTCTGAAAGCAGAAGAACATAAAATCCATAAGTACAGACATTAGGCGCTGAGTGAGAATCCATTTCAACTACGTAACATGTCACTTACCTGCTTCATCATTGAGTGCAGGGAGATGGTTGGGAAATTGAATTCACGCAGCATCATTGCGAGTATCTGACAGTTCCTGGAACATTAATAAACATTATACAATTATGCTGCTAACAATAACTGTAATAGATTTTTACATTTTTCATGTAAAAATTAGGTTGTTTGGACGATTTGGTGGTTTCTTAGTGCTCAAGTCAAACATTATACAATTATGCTGCTAACAATAACTGTAATAGATTTTTACATTTTCATGTAAAAATTAGGTTGTTTGGACGATTTGGTGGTTTCTTAGTGCTCAAGTCAAAAAAGCACACTGCCAAGCTTTGGTTATATTCGTGTCTCTAAGATTCAGTTTTATCCTTTAACCATCATAATGCATTCGGGTCTATTTTGACCCAGAAGAGACGCATACATTTCTAAAAACTGCATAGCATTTAATAAGGGAACTCAATTTTGCAAGTGTCTTAAGCACTTAAAATACACAATTATTTGTTTGTTTGTTTGACAATTATTTTGTAAGAGAGAAATAACAATTTTTTAAAAAAGTTACACTTTTTGTGTTTGGGCCATTTTGGACCCAGGTATGTATGGAGTACCATTAGGTGTCAAAAATACTTCGTTATCTATGAAGTTACTGTCAAAAAAACATCACTTTTTTCATGTGAAAGTGAACATTTGTGCAAGTAAAATAAATGTATTTTGTTTTAGAGGTTTCAGAGTAATATTTATTTTGTTTTGTTAGAAATAAATATGTAGGTTTCATAAATCTGGACTGTTTTTGAGCAATCATGAGTTAGAATGAGTTCCATTCATTCCAATGGGGTTAATACTAGTAATTCTCAGATTATGTGTTCTTGAAAAATTCATACAATTATATATTCAGAGATAAGATAAGATTTAAAAATATTAAACTATGACAGTTTTATAAAGCACAGATTCTTTGGGTCCAAAAGGACTTGGGATGCAAAAATCGTATACAGATTTTGAATGCACTATGAGGGTTAACGTAACTCTATGGGATTTGCCCTCCAGGTGAAAACGTTAAATCCAAGTGAACAAGCCGCCCAGTTTGAGGTATCATTAGCGCCCATTGCACAAGCAGTTGGGTTATGATGCAAATTTGAAGACTTATAAAGATTGGTTATATTCGTGTCTCTAAGATTCAGTTTTATCCTTTAACCATCATAATGCATTCGGGTCTATTTTGACCCAGAAGAGACGCATACATTTCTAAAAACTGCATAGCATTTAATAAGGGAACTCAATTTTGCAAGTGTCTTAAGCACTTAAAATACACAATTATTTGTTTGTTTGTTTGACAATTATTTTGTAAGAGAGAAATAACAATTTTTTAAAAAAGTTACACTTTTTGTGTTTGGGCCATTTTGGACCCAGGTATGTATGGAGTACCATTAGGTGTCAAAAATACTTCGTTATCTATGAAGTTACTGTCAAAAAAACATCACTTTTTTTCATGTGAAAGTGAACATTTGTGCAAGTAAAATAAATGTATTTTGTTTTAGAGGTTTCAGAGTAATATTTATTTTGTTTTGTTAGAAATAAATATGTAGGTTTCATAAATCTGGACTGTTTTTGAGCAATCATGAGTTAGAATGAGTTCCATTCATTCCAATGGGGTTAATACTAGTAATTCTCAGATTATGTGTTCTTGAAAAATTCATACAATTATATATTCAGAGATAAGATAAGATTTAAAAATATTAAACTATGACAGTTTTATAAAGCACAGATTCTTTGGGTCCAAAAGGACGTGGGATGCAAAAATCGTATACAGATTTTGAATGCACTATGAGGGTTAACGTAACTCTATGGGATTTGCCCTCCAGGTGAAAACGTTAAATCCAAGTGAGCAAGCCACCCATTTTGAGGTATCATTAGCGCCCATTGCACAAGCAGTTGGGTTATGATGCAAATTTGAAGACTTATAAAGATGACTAATTATTGTCATACTAATTATTACTAACTATAAATAATCATACTTTATTATTAATATTTAAATTTCATCAGTCACAAATTTTTAACCTTAAAAGGTCTAAAAAGAGAATTGCTGAAGCATTTTGCACAGAGCGAACTATAAATAAAAGTGAAGACTGAATTGTTTTTTTATATATGTGTAGAGGTCTATAAAATCCATCATAATATAGATGCATCTGGTACACACACACACATATATATATATATACACACACACACATATATATATATA